CGTGTATTTCTGATATGTATCGTTTTTGGTGGAACCAAATGTGTCAAGTCACTTGAACACCTCCCGTGAAACTATCTATAGAAAAGAGACAAATCCCCAACCTTTCTTCGATATTCCAGACTATCAAGGTTGCACGTAATGTTCGCGTCTTCAATCAGGCGGATTGCTCTTTCCTGGATGGAATCCAGCAACATCAGCAACCGAATTAGGTTTGTTCGCAACAGCTGTAAAATTAGGATAAATGAAAGCAATGAACTTCACAATGAGAGAATTAGGGATAAACTACTTGATAATCCCACTGGGTCTAGATCTTTCTGGTCGGTAACTAAAGCTGTTAATCAGAACTTTACAAAATCCACAATTCCACCACTAACACAAGCGGATGGTTCAATTGCAGCAGTGCCATAGAGAAAGCAAATCTACTAGCTGAACAATTTTCGTTCCACTTCACAGTCGATTTTTTGGGAAAAGCACCACCTTACTATTCCCACACTAGAATCCACAATGCCGGAAATTATTTTTCGATAACATTCAGTCAGGCGAATTTTTAAACAGCTCAATCATCATCGTACAAAAGAAGGGTTTTTTCTTCTTGTTGAAAGAGTGCTCGGGTTCAGCCTATTCCATAAAAAGAGCAAGAAAAATCTTGCAAATAACTATAGACCAGTCGCTTTGCCATCAGTGATATCAAAAATCGTGGAGAAAGTCGTAAACCACCATATCCTCAAATATTTGGGAGGCATCAACATCTTGAGCGATCATCAATATGACTTTCGAAAACAAAGATCATCAGGCGACCTTCTATCGTATGTCACCCATATTTGGAACAACGCAATCGAGAAACATGGAGAATCAAGAACTGTTGCGCTTAATATTTCTAAGGCCTTTGGCCGTGTGTAGCATATGGCATCATTTTTGTGTATGACTCTCCAGCTTCCTGAAAGAACGTTTTCTGCAAGTGGCCGTCGATGGATATCTCTCGAATATTTTCACCATCAACGCTGGTGTTCCCCAGAGATCTATATTGTCTCCAACCCTCTTTTGATTGTATATCAACGATTTATTGGAAAAAACCCGAAATCCAATATATGGCTTTGCTGAGGACAGCACACTTGTCTCGTCATTCCATTTGGATTCCATGACATCGGGTACGGCGGCACATCTTCACCGGCATCAGGAGGCTGCATATCTCAATGGGGATCTAGAAGTGATTTCCAATTGGGGTGAAAGTAACCAGATTCAATTCAATGCCACAAAAACCCAGGCATACGTTTTCTACAAGAAGATAAATGTCTCAGAATTGGATATAATAATGTCAGGTCACACAATTCCGCTCTCTGCTTCGATGAGTTTTTTTGGGGGTTGAAATGGACACCAATATGTCTTGGCACAATCATGTCGCTGGAATTGCAAAGGCTGCTTCTCAAAAGCTCGGTCGGTCGGTAGCCAAGCGGTTCGGCGTGGGTGCTTTGTTCACTCACTCGAATTGACTGCCGTGTTGGTCGGTGGTTCAAGCCCTAGTCTGAACGTTAGAACTTCACTTGCTATCGTCCAACCCGTGTTAGGAATCACACGTTAAAAGGTAAGACCTCGTTAATCCTTAGCTCGCAAAAGTTTCGGATTCTGAGGTTTGTCGTTCGTAGGGGTGCGACAGCTGGTTAACAGAAAAACAGATTTTAAACAGGTTTTTTTTAATGTTCCGGAGCAGAAAACTGTACACACCTCAGCAACTTTTGATGCTTTATAAAGCTCAGATCAGACCTTCTTTGAGTATTGTTCTCATGTATGGAGCTCTGCCTCCAAACATACCCTGAAGTTGCTGGATTCCATCTAGAAAATAGCCATCCGCCTAATTAGAGACACGAATATCACGTACAATCTTGATAGCCTGGAACATCGAAAAAAGGTTGGAGATTTTTCTCTCTTCTATAGGTTCTTTCACGGGAAATGCTCAAGTGACTTGGCACATTTGATTCCACCAAGAGCGGTACATATCAGAAATACGCGTCGAACTGTGGCTGCTCATCGTTTTGGGGTTCAACTCATTACACCTCGAACCCCTATGTTTGAAAACTCTTTCATTTGGAGAACTGCGTTTATGTGGAATAAACTTCCTGAGAAGGTTTTTCCAAATGGATTCGATCTCGAGCGATTCAAATCAAATGTTAATCCCTACTTTCGCACAGGCACCGCTGTGAGAGCGCCTTGAGGATTTTCCTGTAGTACTTGTGTTTCGTTCTTGAAAAAACAGACAAATATGTGATAACAATAATGACTTGTTTCGTTTACTTATTACAGTTAATAAATATTACTAAGTTTTATACCAACTCCAAACCGTTTTTTCAACACCTCGACCCGTGTTTCAATCATCTTCAAGACGAAGATTGAAACACGGGTCAGAGTTTCAAAAATAATGGTTTGTTGTTGGGATATAACTCCAGTAATATTCATTGCTACACCACAGATTCCAAACAGTGCATCACAGTTACAATTATTGTTTCACTAACATAATTAATCGACAACCGACAAAGTCAATTATGTAGCTTTTGTATGTATTTAGGAAATAGTTCAAATTACTTGATGAGTTCGATTTCATGAATCGACGCACATATGGAATGTTGGGTGATCTGGAAATAATTTTGCTTGAATTAGTTCAGTTTATGTGATGCTGGGCAGTCAAGCATAAAACCAATGGAGTATTTGGTTTTGAATAGTGTGGGTTGCAGCGTTCATAGTTCTCGTGATCAGGAAACATTTTACTATCCATGATAACCACCATAGAATTTTCCCAATAAAATATTTAAAATGCGTTTTGCTACACTTCTCATGAGTTACTGGTTCATCAAACTATTATACAATATCTTTTATATAACACTAGATAATGACAAATAATGATTAAATCTGGTGAAACAGGTAGATGTGCAAGAGACAATTAGGAACACTATAATATTACTTCTGGGAAACAGGTAAAATATTGGCATTCAATGTAAAAACTCAATTGGGTTCTCCTAAATCTGTATTATACAACTATTGGGTGCCACTTGCGCTATGGAATTTTGAATTGGGGTATGAGCTCCTCTGCTGGAAGAGTATTCATTTATCGAAAGCGCACCGTCAGAATAATTGCTAATTTAGGATGGCGACACTCATTCAAAGAGCTGGAAATACAGTTGCTGGTCTGAGATGACCGTTTGGCGGGAGTTGATTGGAGGTTATTCATTTTTTCAGGAATTTCAAATCAATTTATATTATATTAGACAATGGAAATCCGAACTGATGAAATGAAGATCTCTTCGTTGAATGCACATAAGTTGTTGGTCCAGACAATGTCTCTGTCAATTTAAGGTATAATAGTTGTAATACAAATACATGCATCTCTTATTTTTTGTTTGAGATGGTCGATATCTGTACTAGGTATTGAAAAAGCTGTATCCTTTATGTATCCCCAGACAAAAAATCTAAAGTAGTTAGATCTGAGGATCGAGCTGGCCAGTTAATTGGTCCATTGTTTCCAATCTATTTTCTTGGGAAAATTGCATCTAAATGTTCTCTTATTATTGCTGCATTATTGGGTTGTCTGAATTATATTTTGGAGAAATCGAAACAATTTACAGAAGAAGTAACGACAGGACAATTTAAAATTGTTGTCACTGATGATGGTAGTTATTTCAAATGGAACGCTATAAAAATATCAAATGTGATATACCATTGGATTATGAATTTATTGCTTTATCAATATTTGTAATAAAAAGACAGGTCCGTATTAAAAAAAAATATTGTGGCCATGTTGACACGAAACGTTTTATCGAATATTCATAAATAGAAGATTGTCATAGTACAGTTCGAATACAATAACATTTTCTTCTTCCATTTTTTGATAATCCTCCAAATAGCAATTCCATTCGAAAATAACGAAAAACAACATTTTTGGTTTTCCCCGTATAACTTGAAAAGGGCTAGAAACCACGTGAATTTTCTTCGACCATTGTATTGTTCTCGATGACAGTTGCCTCTTTTCCCATTTAACCGTATTTGTATCTGTTACGGTTTACATGTTTACAATACAGCAATGTTACCACATGATAAAAGAAACGGCCTGTATACACAAAAGGTATACATACACAACACGATCATTTTCCGACAGACCTAATAAAAATATATTCCATTGTAGTTTTCATGGATGGTAGATTATACAAAAAAATTAGGGTTGACGGATGTTTATCGAATGTTGAGGTTTTTTATTTTAGTTCAGTTGGTATTTTCAGTGCGAGTGGGCCATGGAAGGGGCAACATCTAAATTTCGAAAGTCAGTAAGCACTGATAGAAGAACTTTTCTATTCGAGGTTGTGTGCTGATTGAGGAGGATCTTATATCACAAAAGATATATCATCCACAAGAGTATGAGAAAGCAGACGATGAAGAAACTGTAGACGATTGTCCTGAAGTTCGTCTGAAAAATGACGATAATGACAATTTTCAATCTTTTATAGATGTTTAGAAAAATTCTGTACTCATTACAAATTACAGAATATTTCGTCCAGTTTGAAAGTATGTATCATATCTATTCACGTGAGTACTTTGTCAAAAGATAATACATTCATTTATGATATTTCCATTTATTCGAACAATTATTGTTCTTATTATGAATATGTATGTAAAAAGTAAGGAACAATCCTCGGAACTACCGAGAAAAATATTTATAGGCGCTGCTTGTTTGCTTCGGAATGAGTAAATGATTGTTTCTAAATTCTCCAGATCTTGATAAAAAAATAATACCGTTCAACGATCATACTTTTCAACTTATTTATGGTTTTCATCGTAACATCAACATCATTATAATTTTGCGCCCTTGACCTGAGTATTGTGAGTAGTTGTTGTCAAGCTATAGTTTATTATCCTCTATTCAACAGTGATTTTCATTTCTCCGGACTAGGAAAGAAATATGACGACTATTTACATACACCTAAAAGAACGGAAAAACTAACATAAAAATAACTCACTTCACTGTGCTCACTTGGACATTTTCCAATTGGGTTTTGCAGTATTCTCCTCCTTTCTGTACAGACAATTTGATGAATATTTTGTTTTCATAAACGGTCGTCCTAACACTTCCACTAATTTGAGTGTCTTCGAAATAACTGGTGTAGTGTTCATAACCATGCTGAAAAAAATCAAACGCTCAGAATGTTTGAGATGAGAACAGTGTCATAACAATTCAATTGATCAATATATCCAGTTCCAGCGAGATATTACACTGGAATATAATAACCATTTGTAATGCAGTCATCAAATGAGATAATCCAAATTTAATACAAGTAGCACAAAATGTTATATGAATGAAAAACTTTGAAGATCTGATCCTAATTCAACTTTACAAGATAGAGAAAAATGTGAAGAAATTGGTTGGGACGGATTGTAAAAGACAGTTAGATAAGATTAAAGTAATCAGAAAAAGCACCCTTTGAGAGAATGCATCTTTCTTTCTCATTAGTTCGTTCTCTTATTTTTGTGAAGGGCAAAACACAAGCACTACAGAAAAATCGCTAAGGCGTTCTAAGATCGGTGCCTGTGTGGAAGTAGCGATTCACGTTGGATTTGAATCGTTGGAGAATAAATTCATTTGGAAAAACGTTCTCAGGAAGTTCATTCCACATCAACGCAGTTCTCCAAATAAAAGAGTTTTTGAACAATGAAATCCGAGGTGTACTGAGTTAAACCTCAAAACGATGAGCAGCCACAATTTGTCAAGTATTTTTGATATGTACCACTCTTGATGGAATGAAATATGCCAAGTTACTTGAACACGTCCCTTGAAAGTATCTATGAAAGAGAGACAAATCTCCAATCTTTCTTCCATGTTACAGACTATCAAGTTAGCAAGTGATGTTCGTGTCTACATTCAGGCGGATGAATCTTTTTTGGATGGAATCCAGTAGCTCCAGGACATGTTTAGGGGGCGGAGCTCCACACATGAGAACAATACTCCAAAGAAGGTCAGACCTGAGCTTTATGAAGCATCAAAAGTTGCTGACGTATGTACAGTTTTCTGGTTTGGACCAGTGTTCCAAGCTTTTGAGTAGCAACCAATGACATGATTGTGCCAAGACTCATTGGTGTCCATTTTGAATAATATATAGATTTTTGTATTCATTAGGTATTGATGATTATTCAGTTCTATTTCAATGTGATTCCTATTTGAATATTTTTCATGAACTCCTACATATGTATGTAATATTCTGTTATATGTCGTCTTCTTTTTTTTGTCATCGCTCAGGTTTTATATGAATTCTTCTTTAGAAAATTCAGTAAAGCTTCTCCGGCTTAATCCCAAGCGGATCACATAAAAATTTTTATTTAGGTAATTCAACTGCTCATCTTGGAGCTTCAATAACGGAAAATTTCCCCCTTAAAATGATGAACGTCATTATCTCGTTATCCAGCATGGATTTATTTTGAGGTCCCGACTTTTTCAAAACCTAAATAATTGTTGTCTCGGAAAGTTGCGATGAAATAAAACTGAATTATATGAAAAATAATGAAAATTTGTTGAAAATGGAAAATCGTCAGTTAAAACTTCACACACACAATAAAAAAGTAAAACTCAACTTTTTGGATCAATTGGAAAGAAAGTATTCAATCAAGGTTAGGTGCGGTATGAGTTGTTTTGGGGCCATAAAATTCAATGGGAGGGTTGCATATAAAATGTGGTGATTTGTGACGTGATGTATGGAACAGTATATAAAATGATACTGGAAAAGAAACTGACTACGCAGTATATTGGGAAAACCTAAAGTGAAGCAACAAGTAAACAATTGAAATAGTGAAATGATCAAATTGTTGTTGAATGGAGTTCTGTATGAATTATTGAATGAAGGAGGAATGGTAGTAAGTTGGGTCACCGTGAGTGGTTCATTCTATGCGTTCAATAGACCATTATGTGGACGATGGTTCGAACGTCGAACTACGACCGAACGAAGAAACGATCGATTTTAACTGGGTTTCGTCCAACCCGAACCCGGGACTCGAACGGTTAAACATAATGCCTCGTTCATCCGTAGAAGGTTCTTCTTCTGAGGGTTATCGTTCATGAAAGGGCGAGAGCTAGTTAATGGAAAAACATATTTTGAACCGTCAGAATCCACAAAAGATGGTGGCAGCGGTAGGATGTGATTTGGATGACAAAATAAATAGTGAAACAGGAGGAGTGGATTCAGTTATGTGAGGTGAATAAATGTGCAGGTAATCATTACGATATGACGGCAGGATATAATTTGGATGATAAAATAAATAGTGAAACGGAAGAAGTGAATTTAGTAGTGTGAGGTGAATACGTGTGCAGATAATCATGACAATATGATGGCAAATGGAGATATAAAGGATCTTTTGAAGCGATTCACTCAAGAACAAGAATACAAAGGAAAATATCGGGATATAAAAACAAAAAATCAAAGAATGAGAATATAAGAATAAAGAAAAGAAAAATAGTGATGAAGGATAAGATCAAGAGACGTTTGAAGCAATTAAAATATCGAACATTAAAAAAAATGCGAGAAAAAAAGTGACTTGATAAAAGTTCTTTCGCGACAAAAAATACAGAGAAGACATGAACAAGAGAAGCCGGAAACGAATATAGAGACGTCCGAACGAAATAGGCCAAGTATTTCATCTACCATATCTGTTGCCTCTACCCACTCCCTTGCGACTCATCTTTATAGATAAGCTATTTCGGTGATATGAGAACGCACGAGACTCGGAAATAGTTTGAATCGAAAGGGCAGAAACGACAGTGTGATAAAAACGAACTAGTTGAAGTCACCCTCATTGTAAATTTTTGCTTTTTTGTTTTCTCTATCATTGTGACCGAAATGCTATACACTTTCGATGTATTTGCATTTCCATAATCCTAATTAATTCTATACAAAAACGTGGAAACCCTGCAAAATTCATACACCCTACTCAAACCGCCAACTTTGGTCGACAATTCAAGGACTGGTCGAAGGGAAAAGCCACTGCATTGGTGTTAGCACAACTATAAATCGCAAGTTGTTACAGAAACTGCTACTAATTGTCAGTTCAGAAATTAGTTTTTTATGTGCTCTACAGCTGCTCTGAAAAAAATTCTCGAGGTTTCTGCATCTTATTCATCTGGAATCCATGTGAAAACTCATGAATGTTATACTAGAAAGGCACGATTTCACGAAGAAATTGAAGAGTTCTATCCAAGCAGACGCATCGTACATTGGTATTTTTTTAAGGGCAAGACACAAGCACTACAGAAAAATTCTTAAGGCGCTCTAAGAACGGTGCCTGTGCGAAAGTAGCGATTCACATTGGATTTGAATATATGGAGATTAGATCCATTTGGATAAGCGTTATCAGGAAGTTTATTCCCCCTAAACGCAGTTCTCCAAATTGAATAGTTTTTAGGAAGGGAAGTTATAGGTATACCGAGTTGAACCTCAAAACGATGAGCAGCTACAGTCCGTCGCGTATTTCTGATATGTACCGCTCTTGGTGGAATCAAATGTGCCAATTTACTTGAAGACTTTCCGTGAAAGTATCTATAGAAGAGAGACAAATCCCCAACCTATTAAGGTTGCAAGTGATGTTCGCATCTCTAATCAGGCGGACGGCTCTTTTCTGGATGGAATTCAACAGCTTCAGGGTATGTTTAGAGGCGAAGCTCCATACATGAGAACAATACTCCAAAGGAAGTCTTATCTTCTGAGCTTCATGAAGCATCAACAGTTGCTGAGGTTTGGACAGTTTTCTGCTTCGGAACAGAGTTCGGAACAGTGCCATGACATATTGCTGTCCATTTTAACCCCCAACAAACTTATCGAAGTAGAAAACGGAATTGTCTGTCCTGACATTATTATATCCGGTTCGACGACATGGTATGGTTCACTGATAGGTCCACAATGGATGAAAAGGTTGGTATAGGAGTAACACGATCCAGATTTAAATTCTCCAAATCTCTTAAGAGCACTCCATCATCTTTCAAGCAAAATTGCAAACTATAGAGGCATGCATAATAATATAAAAACATACGTGAAAACTATTCTAGGTTGGCTTCAAAAAATAAGCTCCAAATTTCCGAAAATCTTCGTATATAAATATTTTTGAAAAGTTATTGAACAGTTGTACAAGTCCCATAATTATTGATAACGATTCAAGTTATATCAATTCTATCAAATTCCTAGGATTATATATTAATGAAAATGTATCATGAAAAAGACATATTGAAAATCAGGAACTATATTTCTCTTAAATTTATGAAAAATATGCATTTCAGCGTCATATACTCACAGCTGCGTTATTTAATTTCTATTTGGAGATCAGCTTTATTAAATCCACGATAGAATCTTTGAAAACTATCAAATGCATGTATAAATTATCGTACTCAGAACCAACAGTGAATTTTGTATGAACTAAAAAAAATGATTAGATTTGAACACACTATACAAACAAAAAATTTATTCTTCCATTCATTCAATGATAAACCAAAAATTTCAATCATAAATTTCATAGTAATCAATAATATTCATAGTCATAACACTTGACAAATAAAATTATTATTGGTTAGTAATTTTGAATCTAATTTTGGACTGAAATCATATTATCATGATGGAATTATGATATATAATACAATTCCTGAAGAAATAAAGAAATCTAAACTGCTCTTATATTCAAAAATCAATTCAAAATGTATTTAATGATTTAAATCAAAAATGAAGGATTTATATAGCCAGAATCCTCTGAATATTTTTATATGAATCATGGAGAATTTTATATTTGACTTTTTGGCTATATAGATTGTTCAATTATTTGTAATTTTTTTATGTTTCAGTTTTTAATATTCATTGTTCACTGCTCACATTAATTACTCGTGTTCCCTTATTTGATATTTCATTGTTTCGTTGAATTTGTATCTTTATTTAAGTCAGTTAATCCCTATTCATGAACATCTAATGTTTCTTGAGATAATAAAGACAAAAATGATTTCAATTCCTCGAGATATTAAAAACTTCACTCTGCTAAATTGTATTTTATTCAATTCTCCACTTACTACCGTTTTCTTGACTACATCCATGTCTCCATTAAGTTTTCATACTTTATTTAGCATCTTATCACAGAAAAACGGAAGGATAGATAATCCATATGTTTGCAATGACATTTCAAATTGGGTAGTTTTTTTTTATTGACCTGTTAATGATTATATACCATTTATATACCATTTTATACAACTTAATTCGATATTACTCATATCGACAAGAGCCAATTACAAATGATTACTTGCAAATTCGTTGAAGGTATTTTTATGAAAAATGCAACGAATTTTCAGGAATAAAAAATAATTTGGTAATCCTACAACTATGTAGATTTCATGAAGTTGATATTCTACTTTTAGATTTGTTCAAAGTGAAATTCAAAAATATCAACGTGAATAATCAGGAGACGATACTCAATGGCGAGCACGCCCTTATGCCCACAAACTAATTTTCGATGTAACCCTTACCACATCCCTTGCAAAACATACAAATGCTCTGTACAGAGGCGTATACTTGTTCTCCAATGCTCTTAGCGTTTGGCATTATCTGAATGATTTGTGTTGTTTCTGAAAACATATTATCGCCTAACACATAACCAGTCATCCAGAGGCAGGCGTTTTAATGAAATGTACTACTACCTATAATACTAAATAGAATATGAAAACAAATTACAAAGAAGTCATGTTCCATTTGCTATCCCAATTAAAACTAATTATAGGTACGACACTGGCCGGCAAGAGGCTATCCTATGGCACAGTATCTAAACACAAGTAAGTTCACTATCCGCCATATTCGGGTCAAGATTCCCCACCACGAATTTTATGCTCAGCCGACCTACAGCACAACCGACTGAATCTGATACATTTACCAAGTGAGTCAAGTTGAGGCATGTAAGTGTCGAGCTGTGGGTTGCTGTAATTTGCAGGGTTATGTCGGCATAATTTTTTTCGATTTTCAATTGACGAAAAACTGTATGTTTTTCTAGTATTCATTATGTAAGATTGAAGGAATGAACATATGAATCTAAAATACATTGTTATAGACTTTATAGACCATATACAGTGGGGTCATTAATATGCAGACGTTTTTTTATGAAATGAATTTGATGAAATTGAACTCTACGAATAGTATATGCCTTACAAGTAATGATTCAAAATGACAAAAACAATCGGAGTTCGAACCACATCATGTTTTTGATTTGACTAGTATGTATCTATAGGAAAAATATAACTTCCACTGGAATCTCTGTAAAACCAAAGTATCAAATGTATATTCAATACATCTGTTTTGGAGCCTACTTTCCATTTATATGCTCCAAATAATCTTCAATAAATAGAATTTCATTCAATTAACACACTTCATGATTAGCAAAATTTTGATTGACAAGTTTCACAACCAATCCAATAAGATAAAAAAGTTATTTCAGAAAAATGATTAAAAAATGAATGAAATAAACGTTTGTCAAACTACTTCTTTATGTTTCTCATCAAATTCTGATTCAATCTATTCAATACCATTTGTTTCGATGAAATGAGTATCAAGTCACACTTATTCAACAATATAGGAAAGGATAGAATAGTTGGTTTTGAGGAATTATTGAACAAGAAAACGGCTTTCATAGCCGAATATGTCTTGGTAGTCATGGCAAAAGGCTTACATTCGAATTGGAAACATCCTGTTGCATATTTTTTTATCAATTCATCCACATCAATACTGGATATGAAAAGTATTGTGATTTAAGCTGTTAGGCAATTATCAAAAATTATTAAGAGTTATGGGTATCATTTCAGATTTAGGTTCTAATACTCATAAACTTCGAAATGACTTTAGAGCAGCCATATTTCTTTATTGATAAGAAAAAAATATTTCACTTTTTATATACTCGTCAAATTTGTGGATATCTTCTGAGAAAATGTTTAAGGAAACATTGATGTAAAGTATGTACAAATTTTGCCACGGCGGCTAGTATCACACTGCATAAAACAACTGTGTATAGTTATTTCAAGACATACAGTAATACAGAAACCAAACAGTTTGGAAGTTTTTATATGCCTCCAGATTCATTTTTACAAAGTATCATTCATCTAGAGGTAGAATTTCCTCATCATTTTTATAATTTATGTGCCACTGATTGCATAGGCAACCAGCAAAAAATGTTTTCAAAAATCAACATTTCTCACCCTTGTGATAATTTTCCTTGGGATTATTTGTTTTCTCTTTACATGGGTAACAATTTATGATACTTTGAAATTTGCCAATAGAAATTTGAAAACAAATGTTAAAAAAACTCTTCATTCTGAAGAACCTTCAGAATAGATCACCATAAGTTGTTGACCTAAATTGTATAATCTTACTTACAAAATATACGTTCATTTCACCACCTTGTCTTATCAATTCCTAAACAGTTCACAATTATATGAGACATTAATTGTGAGCTCCTCGTAGCAATAATGAAGTCAGATCATGGTCACATATTTTTTGATCGAACCTCGTGCAGAGGTGCACACTGCCCCGACACACGCCAGCAAAAAATAAAATCTCGACCCGATACATCAAAGACGCCGACCGGGAGTGAATTAACTTGTGTTTACTTCCATACGGTACCTATAGTGAATTAGTTGGGAGAGTCTATATCTGCACGATTGCTCACCATCACGTTTTTCACTTGCTATAATATACTCCATTAAACATTTATTTTGAGAAACGGTTCATCCGGAACATCTACTATTTGTGATCAATAACTCTATTCTCTATCATTCTTCGGAGCCTTTGATGATTTCCAACGCATTTTCATTGAACTCAATTTGCAATATTCATTTGTATAATATCCTTTAATATCTATTCATCCATTTGCATTTGTTCAAATTTGAAATGTTATTCAAATTCAAAATTCAAATGAACATTGAATTTTCGTCAACGACGAAATTTGAATATTGCCCATGAATACGATTGAAAGTAAGTTGGGATTCCAACGTGTTACCTTCAAGAATGAAATTTTCGAATTAGTATCAATATTTTGTGAATGATTTGAATATATATCTGTGAAACATTCGTAACACTGAAACGATAAAACTTCTATAAAATTGACATTTATGTTACTTTGAGACAATGGTAGAATAAAATTCTATNTAGATACAAGTAAGTAAAAAAAAGTAACGAAGTGAACGTAATACATCACGACAGACGTGTGTGACAGATATAGCTATAATGAATAATTAGAAAAATACAATAATTAAAAAAACACAATTGAGTAAAAAAATGTAATTGAAATAAGCAACAATAGATAATCCTAAAACCAACAGACAATAGATATACAATAATTTAATTTATTTTCAATAATTTCCTAACGAATACATTTTTCACATACTTACTTGAAGACTGGCTATTAATCAAATCATCTAAAGAAACAATCCCTCCTTTTGTGAAAAGTTTTCTTTCTTTATACAAGGAATTGGGCAAATTTCGGATATGCGGTTGGTTACCTCGTTCCCAGGCAGATGGGGCGATGACAAACTTATTGTTTGTTGTCCGCTTCAGCCTAGTTCGAGGAATGATACCCTGAAGGAATTCGGTTTCAATTATCGGAAATCATCGACTATATGTTGATAATAGACACTACCTTACACTGACGAGTGGCCAAACAGCCCGAAACTGATCTGCAAGTGTGTTCCAAAAATTGAAAATCTATTGCGGCAGTTGTATCGCCAAAAGCATTAGCAGGAATACCCACCAACCTACAGTGTAGGGAGTTGGTACTGGCTTGAACGAATTGTTCCTTTAGATGATCTAATAAATAGAAATGTATGATTTCTTCTGTTTCCTGGTCCATTCAGTCTCCGTATTTTTTCTTCGGCTTTTCAAATGAACCAAACTCGGTGAGATTTTGATCCAATAACTTCAACATAGTTCGATGTAGTTGTCGTCTCTCGGGATACAAGTTTAAATACATTTTCATACATTATGATAAGAATTAATTTTATTCAATATTTCCAATTTTTCATAAATGAATGATAACTTATGATCTTTGAAAAGGTAAAATCTGGTTTTATTCAAAACAGAAAGAATCCAACATACCGCTCATAAGAAAAAATATGAAATATGAAAAATATAAAAAATATGAAACGTTGGATACCAAATCTGAAAACATCATTATGTAGCAGGGAAAAAGTGGCAATGTGGAAGTCCAATTAAGTTTTGAAACCTTTGAAAAATAAAGCCAGGAAAAAAAAAACCATTTTCCAAAATTTCTGTTTTTCTGTGTAGTTTTTTCCGGATATACTCGGAATTTCAGAACTTTCTCAACGGCATATTGTAAGTCAGGTAAATGCGTAACTTTGACATAATTTAATCATCTTCGTATCCCTCATAGTTTCCGAGATCCCAATGGTGAGGATCGAATTTGAAGCAACCTGTATTTACACTCTGCGAAGCGACTCTCTCATGAATAAATAGGTACATGGAATTATGTTGATGTCAGAGAATCTGAGAAAAAGAAATACTCGTGAATGAAGTTGCAGGCAATCACCTGTGTGGTATGTAATATATATTCATAATATGAATTTTGGGATATATTCTTCAATAGTTTCGTTATATATGGTGTTTTTAGGAATGCGAATATTTTTTAAGTTATAGTTCGGTAAGAATTGAACTACATTTGTTAATTTTTTGTTACATTAATTTTTCTGTCAAAATCAACAAAAACTGTGTAACAAGCACCGACACTGTTGCCTGAAAAAATACTACTTCCAATATTTGATATTGAATATTATCGATAATAAAAATACAAATGAGTTCAGTGAAATGAAATAGTAACGAGCGACCAAAAAAAGAATCAAACATATGTTTACCTTCATTTCTCTCAGACTCAAACTTCCGTAAACAACAAGCTTCTGTGTGTCTTCAAACAAACTCAAATCCTGGGGTCTGCTCAAGGTGGAAAGGTCCTGTAACGATGAGGAAATATTTGTTGTTGATAGAGAGAAAGACAAAGTCAACACTAGTTGCAGTATTATATTCAAAGCATGATGAACAAAGGTATGCTCGGCGTAAATTGAATTAGCACCAGCACATGTGTTATCCAACTATACGTACAATGGAAATACAGTAAGTGTTTGTGAGGGGTTCTATACAAAACAATTTATTCAAGTAATGGAGGAATATTGAGGGAAATGTGAAATTTTTTGCTGTGTTCCACAATTGATGATATCCAAACGACTCACAATGATTCACACGTGTCACCAATTTCATCAAAATCACTTACGAATGGAATTTCTGTTGCATGAAATATAATGAATAATATTATACATTTTCGGGATACTGATTCAAGAACTGAAGTCAGATTTTTTGTAACAGTTTAAGTTTTTGAGATATTAAAAAAACGTGATTTCCAGATGTTTTTATTGATAGCAATCATAAAAAAACAAGTAGTATTTATCAGAAAATTTTCTTTTACAGGACTTTCTTGTTCGACTTGATTCACAATTACTATTTACGATGCTATAACAGTAGTCCGCTATCATGTGGGCATCCCAAGGACCCTGATTCCAATCCTCCATAGTTCGAATAGGTTGATGGACTTGATGAGACCGTTTTCCTTGTTCTTCACTCACATCACCAAGATTTTCAGGGAAATGGCTGTGTAGAAAGTATACCTTGATACTCATATCAATTAAGCTGCTGGAAGTACGACAATATATTTGTGTGCAATGCAAACAAATTCATTCAACCTTCTGATTTGTGCACTATCGAACTTTAATGAGTCTTGTTTGATATGCAGATATTACTAGTTCATTTTCACATTCAGTTTCTCTGGAACCATATCTTGCCTGAAAGGCTGAGACTCAGCTCTGTTGTCCCACAGACAAATAAAACAAGGATGTTTTGTATTTGGATCTACATATATGAGCCACATGTGTACATGGTATTTGATTTCTTTCCTAACAGAAGCCACAGTAGCATATTCTTCTTTGACTCCAGTTGAATGTGCTATCGAAAACGAACCCAGTTTGTTGTCGTTATGTATAAGCACATATCTCAGGCAACGTTTAGAGGAGTCGAAAAATGAACGCCATTCATTCGGGACATATTTGTCTTTCTCATTGCTTTCAATAAAGCCAGAATATCTGAACAATAAACAAAGACATCATCTTCAGAAAAAAATGTAAGTATATATATAGCGAAACACGTGTCGAGGTGTTGAAAATAACGATTTGGTGTTGGGAAAAAACTCCAGTAATATTTATCAATATAAAGTCGATGATTTCCCATAATTGAAAATCGAATTCCTTTCTGAGTATCATTCCTCAAACTAGGCAGCAGCTAACAACAAACAACATATTTGTCAACGCCACATCTGCCCGTGAACAAGGTAACCAATCTGCAATCCGTCTTTGCTTCAATGATAGAGCAAAGACAGTTTTGGAGCAAAAAACATTTCTGAAGCAGTTTGTGAAAAAAAACTCTCAATGGAGTTGGTGAAAGCAATTTACAACATACATATACAGATCTCACAATCACCACAAATCCAACAAAAATACACATACCTCACAACTAACATCAAACCTTATGTTCCCGGTTTGTTTGAGAAATCACATCGGTTATACGTATAATGTAAGAAGAACTTTCAGAACCACCAATACATTGAGATCAATTATTTTGACACAAACTCAACCCGAAAATAAGGTTGAAAAAAGGGAAAAAAATATAGGTGAAACGTCAGGGCCCCTAGATGTGAGAAAAAAAAATAAAATCGTGAATATATAAGAAGAAGACAGATGGCAGAATCGGCGTTTACGAAGTATTGTAATGATTCTAAAATTATCTGCCATTGAAGACTCAAAGAATCCGCATGAAAGTTTACTGACCAAACTTCGATGCTATGACTCGTCGGATCATTTTTGTGTGTGGCTCTTCAGCTTCCTGAAAGAATGTTCCCTGCAAGTGGCCGTCGATGGATATCTCTCAAATACTTTCACCATCAACACTGGTGTTCTCCAGGTATCCGTATTGTCTCCAATCCTCTTTTTATTGTATATCAACGACTTATTGGACAAAACCAAGAATCCATATATTGCTTTGCTGACGACAGCACACTTGTCTCATCATCACACTTGTCTCATCATGTCTTGTTCCAAGACATTGGCTTCGGAGGCACATCTTCACCGGCAGCAGGAGGTTGCATATCTTAATGAGGATCTTGAAGTTATTTCGAATTGGGATGAAAGTAGCCAGGTTCAATTCAATGCCACAAAAACCCAGGCATCAGTTTTCTCCAAAAAAATAAATATCTTTGAACTGGATATAATAATGTCTGGACAGACAATTCCGCTTTCTGCTCGATTTGTTTGTTGTGGGGTTGAAATGGACACCAATATGTCTTGGCGCAATCATTTCGTTGAAATTGCAAAGGCTGGTTCCCAAAAGCTTGGAACACTGTTCCGAACCGGAAAACTGTACAGACTTTAGCAACTTTTGATGCTTTTCAAAGCTCAGATCAGACCTTCTTTGGGGTAGGAGCTCCGCCCCTAAACATACCCTGAAGCTGCTGGATTCCATTTAGATACTTTCTCGGAAGGTGTTCAAGTGAGTTGGCACATTTGATTCCATCAAGATCGATAAATATCACAAATAAGCGACACACTGTGGCTGATCATCGTTTTTGAGGTTCAACTCAGTAAACCTCGAACTTCACTCTCAAGAACTCTTTATTTTGAGAATAACTGCATTGCATTTGACATTTTTGACACCAAAGTTAGGAAAGAAGTTGAAATCATCTATCATAAGAAATGTATTACTCAGAAACACAAATTAAATACATTAAACCTCATTAAAGCTACATTAAATTAACTTAACCGACACGCATTTCTCCGAAATCCAGTTGCCAAATGAAGGTTTCAAACAGAATATGAAAATAGTGGACTCAACAAAGAACCTGGAAAATTTAGGAATCGAAAACAAAATTAGAATTAAAAAATGTTTGTCAAAATTGTTTAATTTTCATCATGGATAGTGCTATTAATTTTCAGTCCAGTTCAGTAACGGATCAGTCCATTCATACTGTTTAGATCAGGCACAGATGAATCTTTCCGATACGAATCAAGAAGCTAAACATATGGACATTAAATTACTCCAAGACCAAACATTTACGTAACAACAAAACTGATCAGGAAGTCAAATTTATATTTATTTAATTATCCATCTTTTGGTTGCGATGACCGAAGATCAAATGGCTCTTCGAAAGATATCAAATAAGGGTATTTAGATGTAGAACGGTCCAGAAAGTTTCGAAAAAAATATTTTCGTCTGAGGTACAGAGTGGTTAGAACATAAAAAATGGATTTATGATTCAACACCAGACACCATTGTTGTGTCTTACCAGGTCTCATAAGTGGTGTTAGGCTGAACCAGTGAACTGTCAAAGCCTAAAAGTAGAGGCAATGGCATCTCCCCCTACGAAGATGGGATCGACAGGAGACTCCCCAATATTGTATCACAAATCCATTGAGTTGCCTTGCAGTGAACGTTGCAGTAGAAGACACAGGACGAACCTTATTCCGCGGTCAATTTCAAAGCTTGTCTTTGCAGCGAAAGGCCTTGGGAAGATATCCTAGATATCCTAGATATTCAAAGAATGAGTCTTCTATTGATCTCACAGATGGTATCTTCGTAGAGGGATATTTCATGACCCAGTGCCTCTGATGAGACCTGGTGGGTCGAAACAGAGCTGTAAAATGTTGGAAATTCAAGAAATGTTGGATGATTTTCTCATACAATGGCTGCTTGATATTTCTTTGTTCCAACAATAGGGATATAGTCCCAAAAATACTGGCCTCCTATAATGAAGAAGCAAGCTTCACAAATGAATACCAAATCATCATTTCTGTGCAGTCCAATCTCAGACTTGAACACAGCATGACCACCGCTGCACTTTTCATCACCATTGAAAGTGACGAAAGTGAATTAACTTGTTCAATCCTTTTGTACTACAATAAAACCTGCAATAGTCTTGACATTGATATCCTGTGCAGCAAACTCAGCTTCTTCGATTATTTTGTGAATTGCGTTGTCCTTGGTTTGAAATTAATCACCTGTGGAACCGAACTCTAAGAGTTGTAGTGGATAATATCAGCTCAGAGGCTCTATCCGTGATGGAGGTATTCCTCAAGGATCCATCTTTGGTCATTTACTATTCAACTTTGGTCATTTACTATTCAATTCATAAATCTGTGACTTACATCAGTCAGTAGAAAATGCAACGTTCATCACTACGCAGATGTTACTCAACTTTACTTCACTATTCAGTTTCCTGACTTTGATTCTGCTCAAAACCTCATCAATAGTGATCTACAGATTATCGTTGGTATTTTAGCAGCTCATAAAATGGAGTCGGCAGTGATGGGATGACAGAAGATCGAATGACCCTTCGAAAGACATCAAATGAGGCTATTCAGATGTAGAACGGTCCATAAAGTTTCGAAAATATGTTTTTTGTCTGAGATAAAGAGTGGTAAGAACTTAAAAAAAAACAAAAACCAGTAACTTCGGACTACATTCAAAACATTATTTTGTCACCAGAAATGATTTCTTCAAAAACGGTTCTTCGCAGTTTTCACTTTCAGGAACATGCTGATCTTTAAAAATAATCTGATTTTGAGATTCCCATCCAGATCAAATTGACAAAATCAATTACACTGAAGTCAGTTGGATGTTCTGTTAAAAAAATTCAACAGTAATTCTGTGATGGAATTGGCCAATACTTAATGAAAATCCATAACGTATTCAAGAAACACTTTATTGTTAGATTTTCACTAGTCACCTATGAAAATCTCAAAATGAAGTGTTCCTAGAATAAAAAGAAAGTTCGTTTATCTGTGTTCATGAATCATTACTTCACAGAATCATTGTATTTAGGTACTTGATTCACTTTCGTAACTATCTTAAAATTTCCATATCCTTCAGTGTAAATAGGCCCTTTTTTATGAGAGAATGTATTAATTATTATATTTCCAATATCAGATTGTGCATATGTTATCATCCAATGATTTTTTATCATAATTAGTGAACAAGATTTTACTCAGTTACGAGTATTACTTTATGTGGAATACTTCTATGAGGAAACTAGTATTACTTCTGAAGTCTCGTTCAATAATTAACGTGTCAGATATTTCCAAGCAATATTCACAAATAATTACCTGTATGTAACCTGTTCCAGTTCGCATCACCCCCTGACATACTCCAGAAAGTTTTCCTCGATACACAACATCGAAACATGGAGTTTCAATAGATCTAAAGTTTCTTGCCACCAAATAGTCTTTAGCGGTACACAATAAAGAATCCACCAGTTTGTTGGCACGAGAAGAATGCTCTTTAGCTTTCGCACTGTAAATAAACATAGATGTTACGATGGGAGGATATGAGGACATCAGTTAAAAAGGTTGCAAAAATTTCACAAGTATATTGTCGTATTTGAAAAAATATAAGAGTGATATAATCTTTTCTGAGATATAACGAATTGGCATTCTGAATGTCAATGATGGAACCAGCAGGTACCTATAGGTATAGTCGAAGTAAACGATATTGTGCACTCTTAAAGTTGCCGGCACTCTCAAAGGCCAAAAAAAACCAATATATGGAAATGAATTGTTAGCAAACTAGTCCACGTGGACATTAGAGTTGGCGGTTCGTATTGGATGATTTTTACTAACCGAATTTTATGATTGGCTGAAGAGTCACAAAATTAAATTTTAAGTCATGTTACGGTGACGACAAGAAATTGGGGAATGTGGGGATGGTTATCGCCGTCGTGTTCAGTTCAGGAACTGATCGCGATTTGAGTGTTGAAATTCGATATTGATGCAGTTATAATAACTCAAAAGTAATAACGTGTGATAAAACGCAGACTTTTTCCAGTATAGTGATTTCCATAGCGATGGTGAACAATGCGAAAAATAGATACCAGTGAATGAGATTCGGATGCATTTGAATATTGAAACACAGAGAGTATGTTTCATTGTATATACATCTCAAGTTTGGTTTCGAGGGAAACAAACTATTACAAGCAACAGCAGATTTGACTGAAATTTCTTTCTCAACTGTACGTAAAATAGTCAAAAACGAACCTTATGGACGCAAGACGCAATGTGATACAGGATTACCAAAACCTTTATAGATGTTCATCTAATGAAATCATTGAAAAGAATAATATACGACTGTTACAAAAGCAATGAGATTCCTACAACTGAAATCAGGAAAAAATTTAATACTTCCGGCCATAACGTGAGCTGCTGTGACAAAACTCTTCAGAATTGGATGAAACCTTAAGATATAACATAATAAACAAACGTCAAGCAGTTATGGAAACCAGAAGAATAGTGGAATTGCGTAACAAATACTTCGAACGAATAACTAAATATAGACAAGAACCACGGCAAATTTTCTATTTGATACGACACTCATGACACAGTTACGAATGGGTGGACTAATGGTTCGAGAATGTGTACGCCTAACATGCCTGCAAACAAAGAATCGCGACTAATCATTGCGCATTGCGGAGGAAGTAGAGGATGGGTTCCAAATTCTTTGAAATGACGTGGACAAATTTTTTCCACAATTTGATAAGGTAACAGAGCTAATCAAAGAAGTATCTAATATTACCGGAGAAAACTAACAGAAAATGATTACAAAAATTATTTTAGTTGGTGTTAAGTTTTGAAATACTCTGTATTAGATATTATTATGTTGTTATGTGAAATTTATATCAAGTTTGGGTTTTTGTTATTTCACATGAAGATAAGTTGTTGATAACAAGAAAGTGTTAAGCGAAAATAAAAGTTCCTTGAAAAAAGTTAAAAATATCATTTTTCCCAATTTCTCCATTAGAAAAAAAGCTAAACATTGTGCTGGCCTTTCGAACGAATAACTGACTACGTATTTACAGGTAGAACTAAACATTGTGCTGGTCCTTCGAGCCGGATAACTGACTACGTATTTACATGTAAAACTAAACATGGTGCTGGCCCTTGAGCCTACGGGGTAAGCAATATGAAAACAAGAAGTGAAAGTCGAGCTCTGAAATCCAAGACCGAAGTTCCTATTAACGATTCTAAGCGAGGTGACGAGGAAAACAAGATGTCTTCTACCAAGCTGGGTCAATCAAGCAGGAAATCAAATGTACAGTCCACTAACAGTCATCGTGAGTCAGTCAGTAGTATCCAAAGCAAGTACTAAGAATTGAAGAAAAAGGTTGGAAGCGCAATTGAAAGCTGATGAAGAGTTGGCGAGATTATTGAATAAGCAGATGGAAATGGAAAAAAAGCTGATAGAGGATAGGTTGGCTTTAGAACAGGCAAAATTAGAAGAACAATATGACGCAGTAAGTGATGATATGCAGTTTAAATACAGAAAAAAATTGTCTTCTCAAAATTCTTATGAAAAGGTAGGTGATTCGCTTAGAAACAAAGTGAGAGTTGATCGATTTTCTGATGAAAAATCAGATAAAAAGTCTTCAAAAATGTCACATTCATGTCATAGTCAATGTCAGTGTCACATAGTTCAACCGAAAAATTATGTTAATTTAGATATTTCAAGTAATAAAAGTGTTTCAGGTCATGATATTAAAATGCTTTTAGCAAGGCAGGCAATTGAAAATGATTTACCTATATTCAGCAGTGAAATAACAGAGTGACCAAGTTTCTACCAACAGTATATTTCCACGACAAAAATGTTAGGTTTGTCAAGTGAAGAAAATATGTGTAGACTACGTAAGGCATTGAAAGGTGATGCTCGTAGGTGTGTTGAAGGTTTACTGTTGTTCGCTTCATCGGTGAGTACAGTTATTGACATTTTGATAAGTAATTTTGGTAGATCAGACCTAATAGTTAAAGTTTAGTCAATAAAGCGAAGAATTTGGCAGTTATCAAAAACAACGACTATAAGAGTTTGAATCATTTTGCAGATGAGGTTTCCAATTTGGTTGTTACACTTGAAGCCATGGAAATGACGAATTATTTGAGCTGTCCGCAGTTACTTGATGAAATGATACAGAATTTACCATTTTCAATGCAAATGTCCTGGGAAGAAAAAGTAGCAAAGGCAAGAGGTCAAAGCACATTGGTGGTCTTCAAGAATTGGATTTGAGAAAAGGCAGAAGCTGCCAGCTATGTTCAATCAATTGTGAATGTAGGTAAGACTTCCAATCAAATCCTAAATAAAGATAGATATAAATCCACTTTAGTAACTTCTCAGAATTCTCGAATTTCCTCAGTAAAGTGTTTATTTTGCAAAGAAGAACATACATCAGAAGTGTTAGAAATTTTTGAACTTGCCAGTTTATGAAAAATAGAGTTTTGTTGAAACAAATGATATATGCCTTTCTTGCTTGAAAGATAACCACAGAATCAAAAATTGTCGGTTCAAAAGGAAATGTAGAATCAACAATTGCAAAAAATTGTATCATAATATACTTCATAATGAATCTTTAGAGAAAAATGTTGAATCAAGTGATATCGTTTCTCAGGAAATTGTAGCTCATACCTCTCAATCATTTGATTCTGAAATTTTGCTTAGAATAGCTCCCGTTATAATAAGGACTCAAGAAAAAGAGATGGAAATTTATGTCTTATTTGATGAAGCTTTCACAGTAACTCTGATAGATGACGATTTAGCAAATGACTTGAATATACAGGGTGAAGAAACAACTTTAGGCTTAAAATGGACAGATATAGAATCATGCAAAAAAGTAAATTCTAGTAAAGTTAGTTTCGAAATTTCTGACAAGGATGAAAGTAATTTTTTCAATGTAGAAAATGTATATACTTTGAAAAATATGGATTAGCCTCTACAAACAATTGATGGTAGGAAAATGAAAAACAAATGGGCTCACCTCAGGAGGGTAGATTTTGAAAATATGCATAATGTACAGCCAAAAACTGTAAATTCTAGTAAAGTTAGTTTCGAAATTTCTGACAAGGATGAAAGTAATTTTTTCAATGTAGAAAATGTATATACTTTGAAAAATATGGATTAGCCTCTACAAACAATTGATGGTAGGAAAATGAAAAACAAATGGGCTCACCTCAGGAGGGTAGATTTTGAAAATATGCATAATGTACAGCCAAGACTGCTTATTGGTCAGGGAATTGCAAGTCGTGAAATAATTGAGGGTCCTAAGAATTCTCCAGCTTTATCTAAAACTGAATTGGGTTGAGTTGTGCATGGGAATCTACGTCATACGTAATACTATAGTATTACATATTCGTCATCAAGAGAGTTTTGATAAGCAATTGCATGAAGAAGTTCAAAGTTTCTTTTCCACAGAGTTTTTTGGTGTGAAAGTCTTCAATAGAAAGTACAAAGCTAGGAAGATTTAAGAGCAGAAGAAATAATCAAGCAAGTAACAAGGAAAATTCCAGGTCAGAACCGTTGGGAAACAGGATTACTTTGGAAAGAAGGGGTGATCATGTTACCTGACAGTAAATGTATGGCTTTCAAGAGGTTACAGTATATTGAACGTCGTATAGAAAAAGATTTCAGTTTTGCAGAATCTTAGAGAAGGAAAATAGAAGAGTATGTTGAAAAAGGATATGCGAAGAAAATAGAAGAATATCCTTCAGAGAAGATATGATATTTACCACATTATGGGGTTGGTAATGAAACTAAGCCAGACAAAATGAGATTTGTATTTGACGCAGCCGTTAAAATGGAAGGTAAAAGTCTAAATGATTTTCTTCTGAAAGGACCGGATTTATTCCACTCTCTAGTAGGGATAATATGGAAATTCAGAGAAAAACCCATAGCATTTTCAGCAGACGTGAAGGAAATGTTCCATCAGGTGGTTATAAGAAAAGAAGATAGACCTGCTCAGAGATTTTTATGAAGGGAAGATCCAAATGAAGATGTAACTATGTTTGAAATGCAAGTGATGATTTTTGGTGCCATTTCATCTTCATTCTCTGCACAATACATCAAGAACAGAAATGCATTGGAATTTGAAGAAGTATACCCTGAAGCTGCTGATAGCATTATAAATCGTCACTATATGGATGATTACCTAGAGAGTGTTTCTACAAGCGCTGAAGCAACAAAACTCATTGAAGAGGTGATAAAAATACATGAGTCAGGTGGTTTTCAGTTGAGAGGATGGATTTGCAATTCAAAAGAAGTTTTGGAAAAAAATCCAGAGTCACTTAGGGGGAAAGATAAAATACTGGATGACAACGGTTCACAGAGAGTTTTAGGAATGAAGTGGATGCCTAAAGAAGATGTTTTAATTTTTTCATTAAATTTCCACAAAGTCAATAAAGATATTTTGACTGGTAAGATTCATCCTACAAAAAGAGATATGTTGAAAGTAGTGATGTCACTTTATGATTCTATAGGTT